GACAAGACCTGAGGTAACACGTGCACTCTGCCGTATTACACTGTAGCAGGAAGTCTGTTGCTAGATGCCAGCACCATGTCCTTGAACTTCTCAGCCTCAAGAACTGTAAAAAATAAAAATTTTCCCTAAAACTATCTGATCTTAGTTATGTTATAGCAACAGAAAAGGGACTAAGACACCATACTTTTTCAACTCTCTCCTGAAGCCTTCAAGGAATGCCATGACCTTTCAGATTATTGTGGGTCAGCTCATGCAGAGTGGATTGTAGAGATGCAAGACCAGAGCCAGAGAGACCAGGCCAAAAGCTAGAGTACCGTGGTTAATGTGAGAAGGGATAGAAAGATAAGGATGACATTTAGATTGTATCAACAGGATTAAATAGATGATTCAAAAGTGGTTCAGAGGTTTGCAGATTGACAGTCACTGATATTAAAGCTATTCCATGATAAGGAGAACCTGAGATGCAGGAGGATCTTTATTTGTGTGAGCAGGAGAGATAAAAATGAATGGTAGTGGAAGTGTAGAATGAGGTTAATTTTGTGTTCATGTGCATGCTCAGTACTAGGGATCAAACCCAAGGCCTTTGTACTGAGCTATATCCCCAGTCCTCTTTAATTTTTTGAAACTTGGTTTCAGGCTGGGATTGAACTTGGGATCTTCCTGCATCAGCCTCCCAAAGTGCTGAGATTACAGGCATGTGCCACCACATCTGAGATATACTGAATTTAAGATGTGTTCAAGACTTTTAAAAATGCTTACAAGATGTCCCAATGGATGCTTTCAGTAGGCAACAGAATATAGTTTTAGAGTTGTTAAGGCAAAGTATATACACTACCTAATGAGAATGTACAATTTAATGCTTTCTTGATCTAAAAATCCACATCTATTTGGGGTAAAAATTTTCACTTGAAATAACTTCGGAGACTTGAGATCTTTAACTGTAAATAATTTAGTAAGGAACTGAGAAGTGATTGGGTCTCTCCCCTTTGTTGATTTTTGTTATTGTTGTTGTTTGAGACAAGGTCTCTCGCTCTGTAGTTCAGGCTGACCTTGAACTCCTGGTGATCCTCTGGCCTCAGCCTGCTAAGTGTTCACATGCACTGCCATACCTGGCTCTTGGTTTCTTATTACCTTGTCTAAGTAGGGAAGAAAGAATGTGGACTATTAAGTGGAAAGGTTAGGCATCTCTCAAGGTCCCCGTAGCTTTGGAAGCTCACTGAGAGGTATCCGCCCTGTTGTGTCCTGTGGTCACTGAAGCTTCTCTGCAGCTGTACAGAGGGACACGTGAGTGTCCCTGCAGGGTAAGAGACGTCATGCACATCACACTTCACCTATTTCATTTTATCCGAGGGACTAATGTGTTTTTCTTTTAAAAAATAAAAAAAAGGAAGCAGAAAAGAAGTGGATGGTCTTATGAGTCTAGGAAGGTAGTTTTTTGTTTTTTTTTTCCTCAGTAGCAGGGATCGAACTTACAACCTTATGCTTGCCCCACAGGTGCAGCATGACTGAGGCACATCCGCAGCCCTTGGAAGGTAGAGTTTAACCATAATCCAGGCTCCAAGTTGCAGGATTGGTTAATAAATTACCACAGAGTAACTACAGAAGCAAGTGATTCTGGTGCCTCAGAGCAGTATTACAACACTCACTTGATAACTCTTTCTTTCCAAAAAAACACTTTGGATCGTCTCTTCCCAGAGCTTTTATTGAAATACAGTGTCACAACAGTACTGGCAAGATCTAAGATATTAAAATAATAATAGTAATAATAAAAATAAACAATACTGTCTTACATCTGAATGAAAATGGAGAATAAAGTTGGAGTCAATACCACTTCCAGTGCATTTGGGGGCTGAATCTTTATCTGAACTCCTAGCATTTCTCATCTGCAAACTTCTTAGGCAGTTGGGGTGTAACAGTGGTAGAATACTTGTCTAGTATGCCTTAGACTCTGGGTTTGAGCCATAGCACTGCAAAAACAAACACCAATACCAATTTTCTTCATTTAGGAAATAATAATTCTGTATAATAAAGCAATAACATATAACAAGTTTTGCTAATAAAAATTTATTGGCAGCTGTGGGGCTGTTCTTGTATGGAATTACTGGCAAACAGCAACTATCTTTTTGTTTTGTAACTATTTACAGTCTGTACAGAAAAATACTGTGGTATATACTGTTTTGTTTATAGTTGTACTTAATTTTTTCTCTCTTTGAGTTTATTGGTACATTTTAGGTATACAGTACAGTTATATTCATCATTGGGATGTTATACCTTTACATGACTGGTCTTGGTTCTTATTTTTTCCCCTTACCACTGCCTTCCTTTCACCCCCTCCTCCCTTCCCTATTTACAAAAACTTTATTTCCATTTTTTCATTTTCTCATGCTTTTTTTTCTTTTCCCTTATTTCCTTTCCCCCACCCTTCCCACTGCTACACTTTTAGCCCTTTTCTTCCTATTTTACATTGTAAATTATACCATTAGGATCTTATGTACCATTCTAGTTTTTCACACCAGAGAAACTATTCGGTATTTATACATGTGTGACTTATTTATTTCACTTAGGAGTATATCCTCAATATGTATCCATTTTCCTATGAATGACCCTAATTTCTCATTCTTTATGGCTAAGTACTATTCCATTTTATAGAAAAACCACATCTTAATCCAGTCTCCAACTGATGGGCAAATGGGCTGTTTCCAAGTTTTAGCTATTACAAACTGTGCTGCTATAAACATGGGTGCACATATATATTCTTTTAATTCTTTTGGAAAGATACCCAGCAGAGGGATGGCTGGGTCAAATGGAACCTCTAATCAACCACTGGGATATCATCATATTCAAAAGCTTCTGCACTGCAAAAGAAACAGTCAACAGAACTAAAAGACAATCTACAATGTGGGAAAAAATTTTTACCAGCTACTCCTCAGACAAAGGACTATTATCTAGAATATAGAAAGAACTCAAAAAAATCAGCCCCCCCAAATATAAAGACCTGATTCAAAAATTGGCATCTGAAATGAGCAGACACTTCTCAGACAAAGAAGTCTGAGAAAAAAATGTTCCATATCTCTGGTCATTCGAGAGATGCAGATGAAAACAACACTGAGATTCCACCTCACCCCACAAAGAATGGCTGCTATCAAGAAATCAACCAATAACAAATGTTGGCGGGGTTGTTGGGAGAAAGGAACCCTTCTCCATTGTTGGTGGGAGTGCAGACTGGTACAACCACTATGGAAATCAATATGGAGACACCTCAAAAATTATGTAAGTGAGAAAACAACTGTTTCAAAGGCCAGAAATAGAGCATTAAATCCATGCTAATGACATGTACCAGGTATGCTTGGAGGCACTGAGCTATAATTCCTTGGTAACCCTTAGAGTTTAGTACTGATCTCTATGACTTCCCAAAGTGAACACAGATACTTATATTCAAATTCTCACATCTCAGGATTCATGTAAATAATTAGTGCTGATCATCTTTGAGGTTATTATCAAAAATTAATTTAAAAGCCATGTGATAACACTTGCTTCCCACCTTTTAACCCTTATTCTGATCATAGTCATTATACAAAACCTATTCATGTTATCCCTGGTAGATGCAAATTACTTGATTATAGCCTTGTATTATCTCAGTAAACTCTCTGTCCCTATACTTGCTAAGTTAGCAAAGTCAAGTATAGAAAAACCTAAAGTAAAAAAGTTAAAAGAGCTACCTTGAGTAATTTCCCCATTTTGTATACTGCTTAGCAGCACCAAATAAATGAACTACAAATAGCAATTATCCCAAACTAGGTCAATACAAAAGCCTGAACACTTTGTAAACACTTGCTTTTTCTTTTTCTAGATATCAAGACTGCTCTAAATAAAATTCAGTAGCACAGGAAGAGCTTAATAACAGCAGAAATATTTAACAATACATTCATTTATATATTTTTTCCAAGAGTCTTAAAATCAACTAATACTAATCACAATTCCATAACTGAGAAAGGTAGGTACTAAGGAAAACTGTAAAAGTCATGAAAAGAAATTTGGAGTGAATAATCTTTGTGAATAATCTACTGAATAACTTTTATGAGCTAAAGACTGCTTTCTTATATAGATGAGTACGTCAAATGGAGTATTATCTTACTTGCCTTCAACAAACCTAAATTTAGGCAAAAGAATTCAGTGTTAAAAGGATAATACTTTTTCTTACTTTGTTTCATCTTTATTTGCTCTTTTTACTGATGTTTGGTTTACTGAAATTTGATTTTTAAGGATACTATTTAGCCATTGTGACCCAGTATTAATACTATAAAATAAAAGTTATACTGTATTTCAGATATCTTAGTCTGTATATATTATCTTAAATATCAGAAGACTACAGTAACAATGCAACAATCATTTTTCTTATCTTCCACTTGAGGATAAGGGTTTATGATAAAAAATACATACCCTCTTTCCTGTGATCAGTTAAATATAAGAGATGGATACCTGGGGGAAGGTGCTATCTAGTCATGAAATCATTTTGTGCATGCAAAAAGCTTACATCATACTCCTGTCCTCAGTTTCATTAGCACCATACTCCAACCAAGTTAACTCATGCAAAGTGTTAAATAAGACAGTGATAACTACAGGAATAGGAACACAGAAAGGCTGTGTTTTTTCATCTTAAGATTTCACAGAGATGGCACAGGTTTACAATTAAAATTCCCACATCTTGAGAAATGACTTCTTAAATAATTCACAAATCACAAATGTAATAATCTGGAATTACTCTAAAGACTTAATGACCAATTACTACAATTGATACTCACTGTGAGGAATGTATAAGTATATAACATATAGCTATGCAAAAATAGAATTCAGGGAAAGACAACATTTTAAACATTTTTACAGCAAGAAAGATGCTGGAAATTCATATCAGTATAATTACTAACTACATAAATATTAAAGATTTGTATTCTTTAGGAATACTGTGCTGAAGAGAGATTTGATTTTATCTTCCCTCAGATGCTTGTCAGAGATTTTTTGAAGATATGGTGATGTTATGAACCATTAAACACCAATCACTTTTAAGACAGGTATGATTTAGAGCTATTAAGGCTTTGCAGAATTAGGTTCACTGACATTACAAATGGTATTTTAAAAAAGATACACAAAAAATAATATATACAATCAGTTGGCATTTCATACTAACCACTGGAGGAGGTAGTAATGCAGTATTGCAATTTAAAATACAAGATCAGCATTAATTATAAACAATTCTAAAGCACTGTAACTATTGAAACATATGTACTGAAAAAGGATTAGAATTCATATAAAAATCAGAAGTAAAAAAGCAAAAAATAGAAATATTTAGTGAACTTACTCAAATGAAGTTTAGATGATACAGAAATGAAAAACATTAGAGATCTATACACAATAAAAAGTGGTCCTTCCTCAAGGGATGCAATGAAAAGCTATAAAAATCCTATGTGGGAAATAATCACTGGAATTTTTGTAGGACTAAGAAGAAAGCTATTCCTGAGAAGTTCTAGAAGACCGGAGGCTCCTCTTCAGAAAGTAAGACTCCAGTATTGCCCCAGGTGCACATAAACAGAGTCATGAATGACTCTAATTAATCACATTTTAAATAGACATCTATTTGGGGCTCCCATTTTAAATTAGATCCACTATGTGGGGAATCTGGCTGAGGCTATGGCTCTCAGGCTCTCAATAATTTATCTAACCTCTCCCTTTGTTATATTTTGTCCTCCACAAGAAGTGTGGAAATCTGACCTGATCCTCATATTTGAGCTCTACATTTCCAACACAATAGTAAAATTACTTTCTTTGTGCCATTAAACAGGCAGCTCAATAGTCACTCATTCTTTTCCCATTGTCTACTGACAGTTTTTCTCTTCAATCTTGCCAGTAAGCCACAACAGCCCAAGGGAGTTGGAGAGCACAGACCCTTCCAGCTGGAAGAAGCTATAGAGACAGAGACCTCCACTCCCTCAGCACCTCATAAAGAATCGTGGGGATATGTGTCTCTCAGGGGGAAATGAGACAAGGTACAGTACAGCAAAAATTGGCTGGGAGAGGAGGCATGACAAGATTCTGGAACACATGCACATGACAGTTCTCAAAGCCCTGCAAGTAGATTTCTCAAGAGACCTTGAGCAGGTTTGTCAATAGGATGGCTGAGACCTGACGTCAACCTGAAGGGTGGGAGATACAAAATGGACAGTCCACAATGAGTTTTGGCAATGTGTTCTCTCTTGCATGGTGGCCCACCCTCACGCTGTAGGGTGTATTTCTTTTCCTACTTTTACTTGACCCAAATGAGCCTATTTCTTTTCATATCTTTAATACAACTGCTACCATTTTTGCTTGTCTTAAGCAGTTTTTTTGCTCAGGATAGAAAGAACCCAGAAATCACCTCAAAAAGAAAACCCCAGCCTCTCAAAACCCACTTACATTCTTATTTCCAATAAAAACTCTCCTAACTTCCTCTTTTTGGTTCATAATTTCATTCTTCAACCTTGTGAGCCTATTAGCTTGGTTTGTACAAAATTAACTTTCACTGTTTCAAACAAAACAAAAAATTTAAAAGACTGGGAATCTAGCTCAGTGCAAAGTCCTGAATTTAATTCCCAGTACAATCTATCATCAATAAATAAGCAAGCAATCAACATTATGACCTCAAGTATTGCAGTTACAGAGAAAAGGGAGTTTGTGTGACAGTAGGCTCTCAATCCAAGTGACTGATTTTCCATGTTATGCCATAAATAGCTATTTAAAACAAACAACAAAATAAAACGAAAACCTACTTCCACTCTGGCTGCAGTAGGAATTTTGCAGGGTTTCATACAGACAGTCACAGACATAAGGGCACAGCAATATTTTCTTATGAAAATCTTTGATTTTTCAAAGATCTGAGCAAGCTGAGCATGGTCGCACACATCCATAATCCCAATGAAGCAGGACTTAGAGAAAAACAAGTTGTCCCAGCCTTGAGAAGGCCCCCTCATCACTCCCTCTCCCGTGAAGCAGTAACTGCTTGTGCTGATACAGATAAAAATGGCAACTATGACCTGTAAACAAAGTGTACGACCCTCTGTTCTCACAAGATTCACAAGGTTCTCCTTTCAAGGCTAAGTTATTAATTGCTTTTGATTGCTTTGTCTCACTTCTGTAACCTCCCCCTTCCTCTCAGTTTCTCGCCTTTAGAAACCACCTTTCTGAAACCAAATATATAAAACTTTGTTCTGGGGTCAACCTTTGGATGTGAGTCTCTCGAATTGATGTTCACCTAAAATTCTGGAATGAAATCCTCCTGTTTCCCAGTGGTCTCTCCAGTCTCTTAAATCCTGCAACATCAGCACTCAAGATGCTGAGGCAGGAGGATCACCAGGAGTTCAAGGGCAGCCTGGGCTACATAATGAGTTCCAGGCTAGCCTAGACTGTATGGCAAGACTTTTTCTTAAAAAAAAATCTGAGTACTAGCAAACAGAGGCATGACAGCATGACATTCTAGAATCTTTCATATCACATATCAAAATGTGTGCCTTTGAAACTGAACTTTTATGAACCGAAGGGAATGAGAAATTCCACAAGATTTCATTTGCTGTGATAACAGTAAGTGTCCCCACATTAGGCCAGTATGGCCCTTGGAAATAAAAAAGGTGAGAGGAGTATACACACTGGCAGCCAGCTGTTACAGGTGGAAAGAGTTTAGAATCAGGCAGGCTCATCCCACCCCTAACCTGGGTCTAATAGCTGAAGTCTTCATAATGTCTAGAGAAAGAGCCACTGTTGCTTATTCTGAAATTAGGCTATGCTAGTAATTGAGGGTACTTAAATACAGCACAGATTGAAACTTACATTATTACTTTAATACAGTTTTTCTTCCTGATCTAATCCGTTTATTGCTTGAATAAAATAAACCTCTTCCTGTACTATTTAAGAGCGATACCTGAGTGGGGTGGAACTTAACATGTGCAGTCAGAACCCTGGACAGTGTGGGCAGACAGCATAACATGCCCAGAACAGAATGGTGCCCAAATAGGCTCCAGTTCTATGGAAATGTGTCACTCCTTAATATGTATGAAAGAAAAAACCTAGCAAGCAAAATCCAGAAATTCTTCCAAGTACAACAACATAGGTACCTTTCTTAATTACAAACTGGTTGGTTGTATTTTGAAATTAACTATACATCCCACAGGAATTCTTACCTATTGTAAAGGTCATTTGAGAGAATTCAAAATGAATTATTTTCTTCTGTGTTTTCAGGTAATACAAGTCTTAAGTCATTATTGCTCTTTCATATTTTTAGATACTCTGGATCTTTCTTGTGACATGATGTGTATGTAAATGACCTGCTCACTGAATTCCAGGGACGTTTAAGTGGCTGCAACTTTCTATCAACCTAAATTTACCGTAAGTGTTTTCCTTTGGAAAAAAATATTAATTATATGGTGGAGACAATGGTATAGAGGAAAAATGAGTCGTTAGCTGGTTTGCTTATTCATTCATTGAACCATTTGATCAGTTATGGTTGGAGTGCACATACTATAAAAGTCATACGTGCAAAGTGTTCAGTTTGATGACTTTTGACATTTGTTAAATATCGACTAACTACCCCAAAGTACAAAACATTTCCATCAGCCAGAAAGTTCCCCCATGCTACCTTCCTGTAGAGGTTACAGTCCTTGCAAATGCAACCACATTCTGACTTCTTGAGAGCTTGTTTGGGGAGGAGGGGAGCAAAACTGCTCACATATCTTTGACTGAGGAAAAAATGCTCCTTTATCCTAGGTGGAAGCATAGAGTGCAGCAGAGTGTGCACAGCTTTCTGCAGCTTCAGGAGGATGCACAAGGAGCAGTGAGGGAGAAGAGGACACCTGCCTAGCCAACTATGTCTGAGTCAACCCTGGCAATCAGGGGGGTGACAGATGTCACAGCCAGATCACCCTCACATCCACTGTCTGACTTCTATTGTTCAACTTTGCCTGGTTTTGCACTTCATAATCACTAAGCCATGTAGTGTGTCTGTCTGCCTGCCTTCTTTAGCTATTTCTGAGATGTATCCACACTGCTATACAAGTCAGTTTGTTTTCTTTTTCTATTGATGAGTGAGGTTTAACTGTATGGCTATAGCACAACCTGTTTCTCATTGTCTTGTTGATGAACATTAGGAGAGTCTCACTGTAGGCTATTTTGAAAAAGACTGCTATGCATGTTGTTGAATAAGTTTAAATTTCTCTTTTCTAAAGAAAGCTTTTTATTTTGAAATAATTTCCAATTACCAAAAGTTGGAAGAATGAAAAAGGTGCAGGTGCATGTGCACACACACACACAATACACCCACTCATATATCTTTTGCTCAGATTTATCTATTGTAAATATTTAACCTTTGCTTTATTACTTAACTGTGTGGTTCCTCTTCTTATACACATGTGAGTTTTGTTTCCTGAAAGCTCCTTACTCTAAAATTGTGGCCCTTTACCCCTAAAAAGTTCAGTGTATATTTCCTTAGAATATGAATATTCTCTAATATGATCACAGTGTACTTAATCAATTTTGGCGAATTTCACACTGATACAGTATTCTAATCCACAACAGTATGCCCACTTGGTTAGTTATTGACTCAGAAATGTCCTAGGATTCCTACCCCCACAACTCAGAATGCAGCTTAGACTCACCTATTGCTGTTTTGCCTCCTTTCATCTGGAATGTTTCCTCAACCTTTCTGTGTTTTATGACATTGACATTTGATGAATACAGTACCCTCTTCTCAACAAAATATTTCTCACTTTAGATTCTTTTGATGTTTCTTCATGAATAGATTAATATATTTTACTACATAGTAGATGTGTCCTCAGGGTAATACATTTAAAGACATGAGCTATCCATCTGTTCTATGTTAGTTATGTTAATTTGGATAAGCAAGTCAAGATTTTGCCCAATTTATTATTTTTTTCTTCATTGTAACTAACAATCTAAATTAGTAATATGAAAATGTCCTGGTACTTATCTGTTTCCTTATAGATATAACATTCACTGATGATTCTTGCCTGATACAGTCTTCACGCTGATTGCTGAAAATTATAATTTTCCAATTTGCACATTCCTTTGCATTTTTAGCTGACTTTCAGCATTCAAATATAATCAAGAATCCTGTCTTCACTATAATTATTTTTTGTTTATTTTAAGCTTAAAGTCATTAATTTCTATTTCTTTAATGGCTAATTCATTATTATACTTATCTTGGTGCACAAAGTATCTCAGATTTGGTTAAGAGGAATCTCTTTAAGATGGTTCCTGTGTTTTGGGGACAGACTTCCATTATTTAAAAATTTTTCATTTTTTATATGTACCTAGGTGTTTACCTTACACTTACCCTGATCCATCCATGGCATTAGTTATTCTTTTGAGGAATCCTGGATCTTTTAGTGGAGAATAGTATTATGACCAATATCTAGGTACTAGATATGACAAATAGTATTAACAACTAATATCTGGGTACTGGGTACCCAGTACATTGGTACCGGAGTGTCTTTGCTTCTTGGCCTTTTCAGTGGACAGAACTATATAAATGTATATAGAAATGTACATCTGCAAATACATGTATATACATATTTATATCATATGTACATGCACACACACCATATGCATTTTAGAAATCATATAATCACATGCGAGATTTCCATTTCCAATCTACGTCCTGAGTTCTTTTTTGTCTTCTCCTAGACTATTTTTTTATATCCCTTCTTCAGTGATATCACTAGCTCCCAATGTTACCATTAATTTCCTTATTTGCTCAATCCATTGCTTTGCCCATAACCCTACCATAGACAAATCTCCTGTAATAAGCTCAAGTTCATCTGTAATTCTTCTCTCCCTGAACTTGTATAAGACTGAGGGTATATAGTCAAATATATTATTCATAAGTTACTTGGTTCCTAGAGATAGTACCTTTGTCATATACTAAATTTTTTAATGCAGCTGGCTCAGTTTCTGGTCTTTTCATTCGATCCTATTGGACTGTGTAGAATGTGGTGGC